ATTCCCAAAGAAGTGGGAAGCCACTGCTGCCCACAGGGAGCCCCACACCCACCCCTAGCCCCTTACCCTGGCCCGGCTGGAGGGGAGGAGACACATGCTGCCTGCCTCAGATGCCTGTGGCCAGGCTGCCAACAACCGTGAAAAAACCCTTGTCCCCCCCATAAGCAGGGTCAATCATCAAAGGAGTGGGGCTGTGAGAAGAGGGGGCAATTTCTCAGCTGCAGCAGCTCAAGCCCTGAGGAAAGCCCCATCAGTTCATAGATTCATAGAGTCGGAAGGGACCTCGGTGGGCCATCTAGTCCGACCCACTGCCCCTGGCAGTCAAGGAAAGAGTCACCAACCCTGGGGTCAGGTGATCCCAGCCAGGTGCCTGTCCAGTCTCTTCTTGAGATGGGGTGAACACCACCTCCCAGATTCTGGGAACCCAGACCATGAAGAACTTTTTCCTAATGTCCAGCCTAAACCTTCTCTCTAGTAGCTTATGGCCATTGTTCCTTGTCATTCCAGGGGGTGCCCTGGTGAACAGATTGTCGCCTACTTCATGTTGTTCTCCCCTTATAAATTTGTATGCCGCCAGAAGGTCCCCTCTCAGCCTTCACTTGGAGAGACTGAAGAGGTTAAGGTCCCGTAGCCTTTCCTTGTAGGGCCTTCCCTGCAGGCCTCTAAACAGGCAAGTGGCCCTTCTTTGGACCCTCTCCAGGTTGTCTGCATCCCGCTTGAACTGTGGCGTCCAGAACTGGACACTGTACTCCAGCTGCGGTCTGACCAGTGCCGCATAGAGGGGGAGAATCACTTCCCTGGACCTGTTTGTGAAGCACCTATGGATCCACGACAAGGTGTGACTGGCTCTGCCAACTGCTTCATCACATTGGTGACTCATGTTCATCCTGGAGTTAACAGTGACTCCAAGATCTTTTTCTGCCTCGGTGGAGCTGAGAAGGTCGCCCCCCAGCCTGTAGGTATGAAGTTAAGGGTGAAGTGACATGTTACATTTAGCCCATACTGAATCTGTGGACTGCTAAGTGGGGTTGGAATTAGAACATGCTGTGAGCAGTCACACGTCACGGGTTAATACTGATTGTTGCCTGCACAGCTCTGACTTGCCACTAGAGGGCAAGTAACAAATAATTGGTGAGCAGGGGTGTGGCTAAAAGCCAGGACACTAGGAGTTGGGGGGTGAGGGCTGGGAGTAGTGCATTCTGGGATGCTGCAAATTCCTCATTTTGTCTCTGTGGAGCAGACTGAAGTTACCTTAAAATAAACTAGGTAGCACAGCCCAGAGTTAACCCTCACCTGAAATGATGTAACTTTGAGATGCTCAGAGGGCACTTAGCATGAGTTAACGAGCTTTAATATGCAGACACTCACATTTTCAGTGCCTTTAGTATGGTCTAAGTGCAACATGTAACTTCACCCTTACAATCCTCTCCTCCCCAACCCACCTATGCCTATGATCCACACCCAGACTAGGAGGCACACTACAAGCAATGTTTCAACTCCTTTTCCTCTAGCTGGCTTTCCATCTGTTTGGCACAAAATCTGTTTCTTTCATAATGCCGAGTTGAAGACAGGTCTTTCTCCAGTGAAGTGGCATATTATGCGTTAAGTATTTACTATCCAGGCATCAGATTAAAAATTCCTTTAGCCATTAATGCTCATACAAAACACCTCTCAAACAATATCATTAGTGAAAGTAACCATGAGTTAAAATGGAAACACTGATTGTCTTTGGTGCTGTATTAACCCCAGAATATTAAGACTGTAATCTTTCTGTATTTAGTCCCTGCCACGTACATTTCCTAAAGTTCCAAATTCATTCCAGTGTCACCGAGACAAGGTGCGTGCTATCTGCAGCTGTTTTGGCCTTGGATGGTTTCCGGGCTAAAAACAAAGATTGAAGGGCTAGTGAAAGGCAGTCTCTTCGGGCCCTTATACACGTGACAGGGGTTTAGTTCTTCAGGGTTGCATTCTATGCTCCCTCAGTTGAAACGGTTTGTTTTATTTTTCCATCACTGTTTACACACCATGGGTCTTAAATCTCATGAAATGCTCAGTGTGCTATTCACAGTAAATTACTGCAGGAAGTGCCTCATAACAATCCACCCTGCTGTTCTCTTCATACTAAATTACAGCACAGGGAGCCACACACCACTAATCCCCGCTATAGACTGGTGATGTCTATAGTTCACAGCTTGCTGATATGTACAGATAACTGAAAGTGGTGCAATTTAATTAATTTGTCATTTCATTAATTTCAATAACTTCATTAACTTTTACACATATTTTTATATAAAGTATATTAAAAATTTTACATCAATACTTTTAAATTTTTCATTCTTATTTTATTCTTATTATTTTCATTCCTATCTTTTACTTTTTGGTTCATTTTTATTTTGGTTCATCATTCAGCCTCTTGTGGCTTAGGTGGTAGAACACAACAGCTTTAGGTATAAGTGTGAACTGGTTCTCCCTTCTGCCAGCTGGTTTAGTGTGAATCATAGCCATACCTCTTTCAGGGTCCAGTAAGACACACAGGTCCTTTATTTGGAGTTTTCCTTCAACACAGCAAGCTTAGGCTTTCTGCCCACTGCCCTCATCAAAGAAAATCAAAAGCAAATAACATTGTCTCTTTCAGTTCAGGCCATGAAGGTTCTCCATCTTCTTCCAGCAACAACCACTTCTTTCAGCATCCCCTTTTCCCTCAGCATTTAGATTTCTAAATGCTTCCACCTGGGAATCTGCCCAGGAATATCTGCCTCCCTCCAGCTGTACCCCATTGCCAAGCAGGGGTGACAGCCCCTTCTGGATCCATAAAAGGTCTCTGTGCCGCCTTATAAGATGCCCAGGATCTGACTTTCTATATTTCCTAGTAATGAGCATCTCCGTCTTTAATGCATTTACCTTCACCACAGTTCATTTTGTAGGGAAGAGAAGTGCTATCACCTCCCTTTTTACAGCTGGAGAACTGAGGCACAAAGGGACTTATCCAAGGTTACACCAGAAGGCTATACCAAAGCAGGCCTTGGACCCACACTGTTGCAGTCTAAGCTGGTGCTGAAGCCAGACCATCATTCTTTCCTGGTTCAAGCCCTACCACAGACCTGTTTCTCACAATTTGCTTTGTTTTGTGTGACTATTCCAAATCCACCTCTGGATCAAAAATAAATTTATATTACACCTTCCTAGGCTCACAGCCTAGGCAGTCCTACTAGATGAGCTGCACTTAACCAATCAAAAGAGGTCCTATTGCATCCACGCCCTTCATTACCCTGCTGACAAAATAACAACCTCGGATCCTCTTGCAGACACAGAACTGAGAGGGGAATAAATACCACCAAGTCTTAAACTACTTTAGGAAGATGGCAGAGGACTCTGACAGAATCATTAAAAATTAGGTCATCTAGTCCAACCCCCTGCTCAAGGCATGATCAGTTGTATCACAGCATACAAGTCCTTGTCTAACCTATTCCTAAAACTACACAATCAACCCTTTCACAAAACTACAAGGCACAACACCCTAACATGCCACAGATAAGGCGGAGGGACAACAGCATTCAGTATCCTGCTACTGCAAAGGTTGTTAGTACACTTGAGAGATCCAAGGAAACAGGCCATGCCCCTCCATGACAGAAGAAGGTAACCCCAACAGTCCATACCAATCTGACCAGGTGGTAAAAATCCTTCCTGGTCCCAGATGTGGATTGGCCTCATCCTGAGAAGAGGGGCAAGACCCTCTAAGCAGGGACCTTTAAGCATAGCTACTGCTAGATCATACCTGAGCAATGTTTATTCTACCTCTTCTTGAAAACCTCCCATGATGGAGACTCCACAACTTCTCTTGGCAATCTATTCTAGTGCCTCACTGTTCTAATAGTGAAGAAGTTTGACAGCCACTTGGGAAGCATTGGAGAAGCTCTGGAACATTCAGGAGGTCCTGTCTAGACAATATTTCTATTCTTGCCTTAACTTTGAACTGTTCCTGGTCACCCTGAGAACTTTTGTGAATGGCACAGGGATAGCTTCCATTGGAAGGCTGGCACACGTGAATTTCATGGGTGTTTTTTCTTTTACCTGTCGGGCTGTAGGAGACATACAGTCTCTGCTCTCGACAGAGATATTGCTGGTGCCTGGGCAGAGGTTCTGGCTGGGGACTCGGCGACCATAAAATGCAGACAGGATGCTAATGGAGGTCTTGTGGGGACAGATGATAACCAGTTGCTCCCCATCACAGGCATGGGTTGTGTGGTTCTTCAGCACCTTCCGAAGGTAACCTGGTAGGATTAAAACACAAGGGATTATTAGGGCTGGGTAAAAAGCAAAGAGGGCTAATTTAGCCAGTTGGAGAAGCAGCAAAGTTTGGATACAGAAAGGTTCATAAATGAATGTGTTTAAGCTAAGAGAACCAGATTGGGACTGTCAAGGTTTTGGTAAAATTACAAAGCTATTAAAGAAACAAATCAGGAGAGTGCGTAGATGCATAGAGCTTAAGGACCATTGTGAAAGGGCAACTTTGGTGTCTGCCACTTTAAGAGGCTTGAATAGGCTGTGCAGCAGTGGCAGTTGTGACTAGGCTTAATGACTGAAGCGGTCACATGACCACAAGAGGGCTCCCGGATTGGAGGATAAGGATGGGCGGCCTCAGTATAAACCCAGACCCTCAGAGCTGAGTGGGGAGTTGCTGGAGGGATGCCACTGGAGTAACATTGCCCAGCTGTAGATTTGCTGTTCCCAGAACACCTGCAGGTTAAGGGTAGGAACTATGGGGATGGAGGAGGTTCCTGGTCCTGGGGTATTTCCTGAAACTACACCCTGCTAGGGATGGATGGGGTGGTGGGACTGCCTGTGGTGGGGTGGCCCCAAGGAAATGCCACACCTGTATCCCTCTAGTAAAAGGCAAGTATGGGGCACCATACAGCCTCAGCCCCCATGACCTGGTGGGTTACCCCATAAACGGGACAGGTGAGGGGTCCCAGGTATGGCATCAGACACCTGAGGCCCACAGGGGGTAAGGCCTAGTAGCCCCAGTGAGGGGGCATTTGAGAGTGAGTAGGCTGCGTAGAATAAGGTCCATATGGGGGGCCTGAAGGACGGCACATGGGCTGCATAGAGTAGGGTCTGTGTGGGGCTTGAAGGACAGCACATAGGCCAACCTGAGTAGAAAGTGAGTGAGCCCAGTGAGGGCAGAACAGCAGGCCCAGGAGGGGTCCAGAATAACTGTGGCACAGTGTTTGGAAGGGCTCAGAGAAGGCAGACACGTATGAACGAGAGGGTGTGCAGCTCAATAATGTACCCAAAATAATCCTGACTGGCCCATGATTGGGCCAGGACCAGACCAGTCGAAGGTCCAGGGTGCCTGTGAGGGACAGCCAGAGGCTAGAGGCTTGGAGTCCTGACTAGCCTAGAGGCAAGGCCAGCGCCTGTGTGTCCAAAGGTCCCAGAGGGGGCCACTGCGGAAAGGGAAAAGGGCTTAGGGAGTTTTGCAGCCTAGAATGAGGGCGGAGATTAGACCACCTGAGGGGGAGGGATCCAGGTGGGGTCCGAACGTCAGGCAGGCATAAAGTGAGGCCTATTGTGGGGCCAGAGCCATCTAGTGATGCCATCTCCAAGGCATGGGAAATGGTGTAGGGATGGCACAGAGCCATGTATTATGCCCTTGGCATTGGGCAGTAAATGTGCAGGCTCCCGCCTATAAACAACTTCCAAAGTTACATCAAAGGCATGGCAGACAAGGTGGGTGGGCCAATGGTTGGACCAGCCACAAGATGGGCCTCTATCACAGCTCTCACGAACATTTAGTCTAATCTCTTGCATAACACAGGCGAGAGAATTTTACCCAGTATTCTAAGCAAGAAACCCGAATATTTCGGATTGAAGTACATCTTAAAGAAAAACATCCAGTCTCAACTTAAAACCCCCAAGGGCGTACATGTGATGGAGGTTTAGTTCTTCAGGGTTGCATTCTATGCCCCCTGTAACAGGGAACCCTAGCCCTGTTACCAAGAAACAGGGTGGTCCCTTTAAATCCAGAGCCTTCTAGTCACGGCTGGCCAATCAAGTAGGGGTTAAGGCTCAGGCCCTGCCAGCTGGTCAGGTGACAGGAAGGGAAGGCCAGAACCCTATAAACAGTGACTGGAGAAGGCCAGAGAGGCAGCAGAGAGGGGGACTGCCAATGCCCACGGTGCCGCGACAGCAGCCTCTTTTGGAAGAATACGCCACGCTGTGAACCAGAAACATGATCATCTAAAGTAAGCAGGCATGTTGCCTCTCTTATTTCTTTATTATTATTTTTCCATTATATGGCCATAGAAGCCTATGGTTTGCGTTGGATGTTAATAGCTGGTGGTTTGTGGCTGAGGGGTCGAGGAGGCCTCATTAGTGCCAAGGGGCACCATGATAAGGGTCTCAAAAAGCCCTGTGGCACTAGAGTTTTTGAGAGCTAGAGCCTTGGAGTCAAGCCCTGATTACTGGGGTTTTTTGACTGACAGGCCTAGCTAGAGAGAGAAGGGGTGAGCTCACAGTGGCTGAGACCCCGACACAAAAAAGAATTTATAAAACCATCTGCAAGGCTTGGGCTGCAGTGTAGGGGAGGAATGGAGCCACAGATAGCGCCCCCTGGCATCGGGGCAAGAAATGGGCAGCCTCCCGCCTAATTAAGATCATTAATTAATTAAAAGCAAGGCATGGCAGGTGAGAAGGTGGGCGGTTGGCCCAGAAACAGGTGGGTGGGCCAAAGGCAAATCAGCCCCGAGAAGGCCTCCTGTTGCACCCCCTAAATTGAAATGGTGGGTTTTATTTTTCCAGCACTCATCGGTTTTAAATCTCATAAAATGCTCAGTGTGCTATTCACAGTAAATTAGTGCAGAGGGCACCGCATAACAATCCACCCTGCTGATCTCTTCATGTTCAATTACAGCAGGGGATGCTGCACACCGCTAATCCCTGCTACAGACTGATGATGTATATAGCTCACAGCTCGCTGAAATGTACAGATGATCGAGAGTGATCAAGAGACTGACTCCTACTGCCAGGCCCTTCACCCCAAGGAAGAAGAGGGAAGAGCTAGGACAAAAGTGGACACGAAGAGCTCCCATACTGTCCAGCCAGGGGCTAGATGAAGGTTGTCACTGGCCCCAAGGCTCACTGCCCTAGGGTCATCGCCCCCCTGGATATCTGCAAAAGGTACAAAGCCCTTGCAGAACCAGTAGAGCCAGCAGAGCTGCCAGCTCCTGAAAGTGAGAAAGAAATGCAACCAGCTACTATCCCTAAGAAGAATCGCAGAGTAGTCGCTGTGGGAGACTCCCTCCTGCGGGGGACAGAGGGAGCTATCTGCCGACCTGATCCCTTAGCCCGGGAGGTCTACTGCCTCCCAGGGGCCTGTATCTGGGATGTAGCTGAGAGGATCCCAAAACTTATCCGGCCCTCCAACCACTATCCCATGCTCCTTATCCATGTGGGCACAAATGACACGGCTTGAAGCAATCCCAGCCAGGTCATGAATGACTACAGGGTTCTGGTGCAGGGCTCAGGAGACTGGGGGCACAGGTGGCTGTTTCCTCAATCCTTCCAGTTACGGGTCACGGGCTGAGAAGGGAGAGACAAACTGAAATAGTGAACAGAAGACTGTGACATTGGTGCCATTGTGAAGGCTTTGGCTTCTATGAGCACAGTCTGCACTTCAGAGAGAGAGGCAGCGGTCTGTTGGGAGGGGATGGCCTTCACCTCACTCCACTGGGGAAGAAGCTCTTTTCAGCCAGAATGGCTGGTCTGCTTGACCGGGCTCTAAACTAAGCTCGCTGAGGGATGGGCGGAGAACCACCAGTGCAAGTTCACCAAGAATCAATCACTAAATCAGCAGGTTAGGCTGCTCAAGGGAACCCATCACTAGCCCAGCCCAGGAACAGAGATTTTCCAGGAGTGTAAGGAAATCTAGGGCCTCCAACAGCACATTTACTTGCCTGTATACAAATGCCAGGAGGTTGGGGTCCTTCAGGAGGAACTGGTCCTTCTTCTAAACAGAAACAGCCATAGGGACAAACAATCTCATAGGGTTAACAGAGACCTGGTGGGACTTCTCCTATGGGACCATGGGTATAAATGGCTATACCCTGTACAGGAGAGATCATGCTGAGAAAAGGGGAAGCGGTGTAGCTCTCTATGTGAAGGAGCAGTACACTTCCCTACAAGCAGAGTATGTGACCCAAGGAGGACGATGGGAGACCCTCTGGGTTAGAATATGAGGGGAACATGAAGGGGATACAATGGTAGGAGTCTACTACAGACCTCCAAATCAGAAACAAGAGCTGGACCATGAATTCACTAGGGAACTGGCTGAGGCTGCACACACACAGTGCATGTTTGTCATGGGAGACTTCAACTACCTGGGTATCACATAGGAAGAGCACTCAGCCAAATCCTATCAGCCACAAAGCTTCCTCACATGCGGGGATGAGCTCTATCTGTTTCAAGAAGTTTATGGGTCAACATGAAGTAAGGCGCTGCTGGACCTGGTACTGGCCAAAGGCGATGAACTAGTCAGTGACCTAAGAATCGAAGGGAAGCTGGGTGACAGTGACCATGAGTTGATCACTTTCACAATCCTTCACAAAGCTGGCAAGTCAGTCAGCAATGCAGAAGTCCTTGAGTTCAGAAAAGCCTACTTTCATAAGCTCAGGAGGCTTGTTGTCAAGGCCCCAAGAGGCCATGATTTGACAGGGAGGGGAGTTCAAGATGAGTGGTTGCTCGTTAAGGAAGTGTTCCTAAAAGCACAAGGGAAGTCCATTCCAGTCCATAGAAAAGGTAGTAAAAGGGCTCAGCAAGCACTTTGGCTTAACAGGAACTTATGGACCTCCTACATCTAAAAAAAGAATCTTATAAAGGATGGAAGACAGGAAACACCACTAAGGAGGAGTATTCTGCACTGGTCCACACCTGCAGGAGGCAAACTAGTAAAGCCAAGGCTGTAACTGAACTCCATCTGGCTACAAGAATCAAGGACAATAAAAAGTCCTTCTTCAGATACGTGGAAGTCAGAAAAAAAACAAGGGCATCATTGGACCCCTGCTAAATCAAATGAGGCAGCTGACAACCGACACCCAAAAAAAGCTGACAACCAACACCCCAAAAAAAATGCTTAATGATTACTTTATGTCAGTCTTTCACCAGCCCAAAGAGACCACCCTGCCTGACAAGATGCAGGATGACCAGGGTGAGGGACACTACTGGTGTAGATCTTGTGAGGGAATACCTTGAGAGGCTGGACACTCACAAATGA